AATAAAGATCTGATAATGGATGAGCTTGTCCAAGCCCTAGACGCCTACAGAGGAACGTTCCCCAGGCTCCATAAGATTTTATACGAGATAATAAAGCATCTTAATCATGATGCAGTGATTAAATTGCCTGAAGTGTACAACAAAATTTGTAACAGCCAGACTTTTCCAAACTCATGGCACACACACATCATTCCCACATTGAAAAGAGTGGGGGATCCTAAATCTGTCATCTCATTTTCACGAGGTCCTCCTGCTCTGACAACAAAATATTAACAATGAAAGCTATACTACTACCATAGATAACATTATAGAGTATAAGCTTTAATATTAAAATGCTTTCATATCATGGCTAAAAAGGTCGAGACAGGTTTATCGTTCGCATTGCTACGCTTTTAATTTTAAAAATTCGATATGTCTCGTACAGGCAACAATATTCATAAATGTTATTATAACATTTATGCTTTAGCCTTGGTCATATATCAAGTTCTACATAATCATTTTACTTATAATTAAATATGAAGGCGTAAACTCATACAGCCTTATAATGTAGTTAATATCAAATAATAAAATGTGGCATTTCGAAATCGTGTCAAAGTTTGTGACGTTCGAAACCTGCGTCGACTGCAGGGCTGGACTCCGTCTGCTCAACAGAAACAAAAGACCATCGACGGACAGTGACGTCGTTACAGTTTTTTTTTTTTTCATAGGCTGTATTTTTGTTATTTTGTCACAAAAATCAGAGCCACAGTCTCACAGTGTGACTTTAAATCTTTAGGCCTGCAACACATCACTATAAATAGTCATATGCTGTTTAGATAAATCAAGTTTACAGGGTCAATGTCGCATTCATCCAATACATTTCCTATGAAATGTGGGTGCATTTTATATTGTTGAATGCTGTTACAATATTGACTTAATTATGTATTTATTATATATTGTGTTATGGAGTGTAATAAGCAAGAACGGAACGCAGAGAATCTTATAATTATCAGACTGTCCCTACGCACTGTACCTGATCTAATATTCATCCATTTATGATAGTGTATGATCAATTTTATATATATCCGTTTTCTTAATTATCTAATGTTTAGAAAACGACAAAAAAGCAGCCAGCCATGGAGCCGGTTACTAAAATGCGTTATGGCGCCGTAGCTTAACGGCGTCTTACGGCCTTACTGGTGCAAGTCAAGGCGCTGTAGAGTAAGGCAGGGGGAGAGCAGTCTTAGCCTGTTACATTGAACCATAAATTACATTTTCAGTCTTAAAATATTTAGTATCCTACATTTTGTGCCATCTTGTTATATTGTTATGATGTTTGAGTAAACTAATTGTAGACAAGTCAATAAGGCAGTAACTGTTATATTTCAATATAACTGTTTTGTCTTTGCTCATTCCAGCCAAAGTTCTGTAACTGTAAACAAGGCATTACCCTAAAATTAGCAAAAGACGATCAATGGACGGTCTTCGCATGTGATTGGTCAAAATTTGTTTTCAAAATTCTGAAACGGCTGCTGTGATTGGCCACTGAAAATCCGACACTAAGTGATTTGCGGCGGTGCCGGGTTTAAGGCAGTGATAAAGTTTCTGCCATGTCAACATTTAAGGTCATTAGTAGCGTATTTAAGAAATAGTGATAAAGTGAGGCTCTGGTGCGAAGCCCCAGGTAATGAAAGGTCATACAACACACTGATAAAGGATTGTGTCAAAAAGGTTAAGAATGCGTTAATGATTATACAAAATATGCTAGGTGCCAAAGGTTGTACAGTTCTGTGTGTAAGTATGGTAGTGAAAAAGGTAAAGAGGGATTAGCAAATGGAGCACGAAGACCGTTCAGGACTGACAGAAAGCCTGCCTTTCGTCCTTTCAGCACGGCTTTCATGCTTTAGGATTTAGACAAAAGGGGATGAAGAAGGAAAAAACAAAGAGCGAGAAGAAATGACCATGCAAAATTAGTTGGGGTGAAGAGGTCCACGTTTGGTGTGATCCCCTACATTGGGCCTCAGTCTCTTGTCTCCTAAGCCCCCCCCCCCCACACTACGACAACAACGAGCAAGGGATGGGGGAGAGGATATCCATTCAGATCTGTCAAGCCAGAAAGAACGCGGAAATGCACTATGCTCCTTACTTAAATATAGTGCATGGAAGGGCATTATACAATCCAGAGAATATTTAATGCTTTTTAGAGGAATTATGCTACAGACATCGAACGGCGCCCGCTTCACTAGGGATATAACCAAGGTCTCTACACATATAGACTGGGTGTCTAAAGGCCTGTCCAGACCATTATCATGCTAAGCGACATGCTTATCATACGCCACTGGCATTGTCAAGCACGGGCAAGCCTAGCAGAATTCGCTTGCCAACCGCACTGTCTGGTAGACACATCCGCTCAACTAGACAGGCCTTAACAAGATGTGGATATCATACGCCCTTATCAATAAAATGGTTAATGGTATCAGTACTCTCATATTTATACTTTGTGATTTTATCATCAGCGTGTAAATATTTTCTTATTTCTTCTATTATATATTCAGAATATACATACTTTATAATGCCAGAAGTCCATCTTGGTGACTAAATTGAACACGGTGGGTACTTCGTGCCAAACTCTGTGGTAACATGCTTAGAGGCCTACCTTGGGTAGAGTTCTGTGGTAGATTAAATTTTATTCAGATTTTAAGTTTATTTTTTATTAAAGATTTAATTTCGATTGGTGTTTGATACAGTGTATGGTCACTTTTTGCATGTAGCAGTTGAACTTGGTTGTAGCTATCAATTGAATTATTTACTTTTTTCTGCCGCGTCATCTAAGGTCCTTAGCGGCGTATTCAGTTCAGTGAGCTGTATTTGCAGGTAATGTTAATTTCTATTGTGGAATCGCTTTTGAGCAAAATATTAACGTAGGTTTAATTTTCTTAACCAGTAGTAATAGTATTATTTACTTTCAACAACTGTCATGATGTCTTTTTGTTGCAGTTTATCTTCAACTAATTACATTTTGGGGATCCTTTAAATCGATGCCCCACCTGAATGCAATCCAGTGCGCCGAGTAACATGCGGGACGCTTTCATAATACTATTGGATACTGGGGTTAGGTTTAGGTTTCTTGTGAGACCTATAGATTTTTTCGCAAGGAAAATTCATTTTTATACGAGAAATCTGAAAGTGATGGAGGGATAGAGGCTTCCTTCAGGCTCGTCTGGCCGCGGGCAGGCCAAGAGAATGCCTGAGCCCGATTGAAAATGGAGCTTTTTCCAAGATATCCAAGGCGGTCTGCTTCTATAGACCCTGTAAAAATGACTAAGAAAAACTGACAATTGTAGATTTGTTCATCGTGTAGTCCCAGTTTGCGACCGCATTGGACCGTGGTAGTCAAATGATTTATACGCACATACATCGCAGTATTTAGTGTATCATTTATTGTTTATTGTACTGTTTAATCAATTCATTTACTCAATTCTTCGTCGTCCATAGGATCGGGATTCTTAGTAAAAAGTTCGATACCCTAAATGCACCAAAACAGTTAATACGTCTTTTAACAATTTTACTTAATGAGCGAGGGCTCATAAATCACATTATTTTCATCAAAACAATACAATCAAAAGCACGTAATGTAGCTTACAGTCCATGCTAGTCCCTTTTAGTCCCCATCATCAGTCACACCATGGGACACCAACACCACGTATAATGACCTCGATGAGGGCCATTACCAGTCGCAGCGCTTAATGTATTGAACGCGAGAGCAAGAGAATAAATAGAAGCAGCACGAAATAACAGCAGTTTCCTCCTTTGTTGCAAGCTTAAAACCAAAGCGCCGAGGAGAAATTTCGAATGTTAGAATTTCTCGCCCAAAAGTACTCCTTAGAAATCTTATTAAGTGCTGAAGCATTACTACTATAATAAATTTACTACATTGTAAACAAGTGATGACATATGTAATAAACTTTTTTGCAGGTATAAAAAGCCTGAAAACAACTATAGTTAATGACCTTACATGACGTGGCAGAAAAGGTTCAATAACAGCGGATTTAAAACATCGACTGGGTAAGGCTTGGAGGCCAAGTCTTCGGATGATGAAAAGGATTAGAATTAACGATTAAGAGAAAATATATTAGACATCAAAGATTGCAGAGTGCTGTAGTTTAGTAATGTAGTGAAAAGATAAAGAGGGAATAGCAAACGGTCTTTCATTCTTTCAACACGGCTCCCACACTTTAAGAGGTGAACAGAAGAGAAGGAAAAGGAAAAGGGGAGAAGAAAAGCCTGTATCAAATTATTTGAAGCGAGAACTAAGATCCAAGGTAGGGGTGGACCTTATATTACTACATTGGGCCTCAGCCTCCGTCTCCTCAGCCCCCCACCACGACAACGAGCAGGGGATTGAGGAAATTTACTTTGCCACACAATTCACTCAAACATTTTAAGCTTCAAGAGAATATGAGCGCAAACCAGCTCATTAACCCGGAAACATAGAACATTTTCACGGTGGCTGATATACCATTCTGCTCCTACAGATGTGCTAGAAGGTATGTCCGACAGTTTACGCCTGTGTATAGAGTGTGAGCAAATGCATGCATTATTTTTAATTTTTCTTATTCTTACTCGTTTCATTTTATTTGCTTCAACCCCTCTTCTATTCTGTGGGCGGTGGTCGATCGTGCTCACTGCTTAACTCCTGGACCCGCTTTCGTATTTTCTTTGTTCAAAATTCGACCTCATTTATATTCCGATTCCTGCAGCTCTCGTCCACCTATGCCCAGCATAGGTGGTTATGTAATTAGCCTTTTATATCGACCCAGGTAGTTGGTGTAGACGTCGTTTTTTTTTTTTTTTATGTGGATTTTTGGGAAGTAGATTTCTGGTTGGTGAGGCTATATCATCTAGATTTAAAATAGACTAAAGTAGATTGTTGACGGAGATTTGTCCCTTTTTGAGCGTTTTCTAGTTCAGTACGATACTGAAATATAATGGTAACTTTACATGGCAAAAAAAAAAACATGATGCTTTCTACTATTCTAATTGAGTAAATCACATATTTAAACCTTTATTACAAACGCCGGTCATAAGATAATGCCAATACCATTTAAAAAACAAATCTAAACGAAAATCAATGCAGGGAGTCAGCTCACTGAATCACGGCGGTGGAATTGTTATTTCCTTTTCTTAACAGATTCCAGGCACCCTTCGGCCCATATCTGGAAAAAAAAAGTAATATCTTGATGGTAACCTGTGCAGAAATAAAGACAAAATAATCGAAACAAACAAGGACACACCTAAACACCTACACTAGCCAACCGAAAGCCAAACGAGCAGCCTAAAATCCTTTACCTTGGAGCGAAGCGAAGCCTCTTCGATCATAGTCGGCGTCATCGACACGACAATAATGAAGTACTCTCCCCAGGCTCGAACCTCGGAGACGACGTAACTCCCGTTGGCCGCCACGCCGCTCAGGGCTTCACCCACGGCATTCCCAGCCAGGGATTTACGAACAGCAACGACCGAGGATTGAAGGAGTGGCCCGACATACTCCGTAACGTTCCTCAGGTACATGTAGAAAATTCTTGCGATTCTCAAAATTCCAGGCACCGACTCGAAGGGCTCCGGCTGCCGCGCCAATTCGGAGTGCCAGCCAAGCACACACTCCCGACTATAGGCAACCTGCAATAGGACACAAAGCGATGTTAATTATATACACGCACATATGAATTACACACACACACACATACATGCACACACACACACATACACACACACACACACATATGGACACACATACACAAACATACACACACACACACACACATATATAAACACACACACACATATGGACACATACACACACACATATGGACACATACACACACATATGGACACACATACACACACACACACATATGGACTCG